ACGAAGTTCGACACGGTTAGGATGGGACTCCAAAGCAGGCGGGTCTATGTCTGGCAGGCACATCGCGCGGTCGCATCATAGAAGAGAGCTCTGAGGAGCAAAACCCGTTGGTGTAGCGGTAGAAAAGAGCTAGATCGCCAACGGACCGCGCTTGTCTGTTAGAGAAGAGTCATCGATTTATTTAATTCGTAATCTTAAAAATTCTGTATTCACTTACCACGCCTATTTTTACAGGTAGTAAAATGACATATGCTATCCTTCCATGGGGTCATTTACCACATATGTATATTATAGTTTTTGCTCTGCAGAGGAGTTGTGCTAGGTACACAGCAAACCTGAAGTAGAGAGAGGAATTCACAAAACTAAAAATCATGACTTTGCCTCGTGCTTACATTTATTACTTCCTCAAGACTAACACTGCATATACATCTCACCAAGAAATCAATTTACACAATCCTCGAAATAAGTCTACTACTACATAAAACGTCACAGAATCAATAAAACCAGAAATGACGTTAACTTTATTGGCTTGAAACTTTTTAATGCTTCACCTCATCAGACTAGAGCGCTTGATATTGACGACTTTAGTGTGCTTTTGAAGAGTTTTCTTTTATCAACATCTTTCTTTGGCATATATGAATTTATGTTGTATGACTTTTCGGTTTTTAGCATTGCCTTCCTATTTTTTTCTACCATTCTAGTCGCCAGATTTTGCCTTTGTTTGTCTTACCTATAATGTCGTATCGTTCGTCATTTATTATTCACTCCTTGTATACATGTATATCTTTATATCTTACTCTGACCTATGTATGCACATAACCTGCATTAACACCAATAAACGACTATTATTATTGTTATTATTATTACTATTATTAATAGTTTTATAAATTTTCAAGGTCCAATTATTGTATAATGTTGCATAATTGACAAAGGTGTAGTGTAATCAGCTACAGCCAGAACTGACATATTTCTTAACTGGGTGTCTATTCGAAATAGATCGAAATCTAAGGGACAATTTCACCAACATTAATATTTGACGGTCAGTTGGACCAATAGGAAAAGATCTTATCGAAATGCAATTTGACGGAAGCTGTCAAAGGTCTCTGAATATCAGTGATTTTTATTGAAATATTGAATGAAATCGTGAAAATTCGACTGTATTATAAACAAGACCACTTTTTGATACCAACATGATGCTTTTGTACAGAAAAAACAGGACAACCTTCATGTATTTTGATATATGTTATAGGTTTACATTTAACAATCCGTTATCCCCCTCAGCGAATGGGAATGCGGCAAATAATAGGTCGATTTTCTAGCTGTTAAATTTGGCAGCAGATTTGGACGTTTGTTAATGCATGGTACTCTCGAATTTACCGACTTCAATATACTGAAAGTTATCATTACATACCTGTTGAATAGTGTGGATTTGTCTGTATTTTGCAAGAAAATAGAATATAAAATACATTCCATCCAATTCCTCATCTTCCTTTACGTCATAATAGTAATCATTTATTAATTTATGGGTTAATGAATTTCTTCAAAGCAATAAAAACATTATGCCCTCTCCATCCTAAAACACAGATAATATGTGTAAGACGTGTCAATCCCTACATCTCCATGACGCATAATGCAATTACTATGGACATAGACAAAAAATTATGAAAAATGTTTCACAGATAATGGCTTTTAAGTTCAAAAATCAAAAAAACTAGTAATGTTTACTGATTGTCTAATTTTTTTTTGACTGGCGGGGATATCTATCTGACACTCGCAGGGTTGCCAAGTCTAACGACGATCACGTCCCGAGGTGGAGTGTGCGAAATGAATCTTTTACATTTCCTGGTTTTGAATTTTTTTCGTGAAAATTTACTAGGTATCATGATTATAAGCATCTTTGGTAGATTGTTCGATCCGGAATGGGAAAGATCTCCTATTTATGGAAATATTTTTGGTATCATCTAACTGTTGCAATCAGTGCACAAACACTGTGACATATGATTTATAGCATAACCCGCTGCCCTATCAATACAAATTTAACATACAGGTCACCTAGCCGTCGGGATGCAGTGGTCGGGATGAATATCACGGCAGCAACTGATGATTTGGGCATGTCTGGTAAGAACGTATGAGGTGAAACTCGCTAACTTCACAAATTTGAAGATTTTGTACAATTTCTTTGAAAATGATGAAAGATATGTCTGATTTGGCAGCCAAATGGCAGTCACTCTTTCTGACACAGTCCGGATCGAAAGATGCCGATACTCGTGAAATGTATTGATACTCCTAAATATAGGATCCTATCGAACAACCCAAGGTACCGACGGAGCTATTTTGCGGCGTCATGGAAATAATTTTAAATTTTCATTTGCATTTTTGTTGTGCAATGATTTTTGGAAAAATGTCACGAATAAATAGTCTTATAAAGCATAGTAGACTATATTTCAACAGTTGGCGGAACTTACTCCACTGGGACCAGGAGGGTGAAACGGGATATTAATGCACAATCTGGCAACCCTGTCGCACCCTCACAAAATGGCCGCTGACAACCACACAAGTCACCGTGTTGTGATTGAATAGCATGGAATTAAACCTTCAGAGTATATATGTTTTGTGACTCGTACCAAGAGTTGACAGATCCCACACATGTGTCACTCCTTGAAATGCAATAATCAGCTGTATTCAAATAATGTCTAATATAAATGTAACCTAGAATGTGTACTCGTGAAAAAAGAAAAATATGGCAAACTTGTAGTTTTTTTGCAGGTTTTATAGGTTTGCTGGTAGCTTTAAGGCATATATTTGGGAATTTCTTAATCGCTGTGAATATAGTGTGGATGTTTGTTCAGTTCCTGAACAACGAAAAATATTCAACATTATGGATGTATGGATATCAAAAAACCTGAATGGTTTTGTGGGAATATCAATCTAAGGTGCCATAATGGTTCTGATAAACGGCAAGTAAACGAATGGATGTTTGGAAACGAGCAATATCTTTTTGTAGAGCCTGTCATCAAGTAGGTGCTTAGTGGCTATCTGCAAGAGGTTTATAGGAAAAAACACAGTATCACATATCAATTGAAGAAAATAATATAAACATGAATAAAAAATCAACAATAGTAATTAAAACATGAAATTCAAAAATCAAACTTTTCTTAAAATTTTGTCTGAATTATATGTAATTTCTTAATATTCAATAAGCTGGTAATGTTTCAGTGACAAGTAGTCATCTCATACTTTGACAGTATTTTGTTTTCAACATTTCATAGCTATTGGTTGCTAAAATTTGTTGATGGGAACTTGAAGCTCATTCGCTGTATCTGACGGTCTTTTAGCCTATAGGTGGAGAATAACGGACTGTTGTTGGTGAAATTGGGTCTAAATGTCGTTTTTTCTAAACCCTTTTGAATTATCAAATCCAGTACCAATTACAGAAAAATTATCAATTACAAATTATTGTCGTTTCGTGTCCTATGTTGATTCTTCTCCATCATGCCACATCTCAATATAGTTGGTTGTTTTAGAACGGGACACTATTCGATTATACACTTTTTACACGATATTTTTGCCAGGTGTGCCATTTATGCGACATACATTAACTTCACTATAATAGTTATTTAGTCGTATGGACAAAAACAAAAAAAAAATGGCAATGAATCTTGGTAGGAGAGACATATCTGCTGGACGCGTTTTTTCACATAATTTCAGGCAAGAGCACGCTACACCTCGGAAGCTGCCCGAAATAAATATACGCCGCTTATCCCGAAACGAGGGCCATAACAGTCATAAACACTCAAAGTTTTGTCTTCATTCCCGAGACGTCTGTTTGCTATCTCGACCATAAAAATGGCCCGGCTGTTATTTTTCACTTACTTCGCCGGTTCTTGATCCTCTTTTCTTCCAAAAGAAAATTCAACAGCAGCTTCACGAGGTTTTTCATTAGGAAAATACACATCAGACACAGTTCTCATTATTTAATAATTGAATTTGAGACTTTGTTTGCATTTTTGTTCATTTAGGGCTGAAGCTCATATTTCTTTTCTGATAATAAATTACGTTCCTTTTAGACACATGATGCGGATTTAATATCTGTTGTACAGTGCGTTGTCATACAGTGGGAGAATCGGGTATTTTCCGAAAATTGTATTCGATAGAACAAATATGTATTTCACATTATTTCACGGAGAAGTGAGAAGCTCTTTGTGACGTAATAAGTTTGTAATAAGTTTTGGGTTGTCCGAAATAACTTTTATTATCTAATGTTGACAGTCTGACCTGAAATGTATCATGTTCTGTGGTGTATTTGCAAATAACTTGGCAAATTTGCAAATTTTACTCCGGAATAGAGTTATTTTTTGAGTAAATTATTAGAGAGTCATGTGATGATACTTAACGACAGTTTTTTGCCACGTTTTCTGCGACCATTGTATTGATAAGAATGGCTGTGGATACAAGGTAGCCCATTTAACCTGAAACATATATATTCTGCCAATTTTGAGAACTTTTCGATAACCAGATAAAGTAAACAAGCAATGAATTATAGGAATGACTACTGACGACACGCTTATTCCCAAGGTTTTGAGCACGGGAAGAAAAGCACACTTTTGACGTTCCAGAAGTACTACTTTGTTCTATTTCCGTACATGGAACGGTCAGTAGCAATTTATGAACTCAGCCTGTTGCACGGAAGTAAAAATAAAATTATATTATATGATTTCTTTGATAGCAAATACAAAATGCGGAGGATTTAAATATGTTCGTTCTTATATCTTTCTGACACACTAGCGAAAAAACGGTTAACCGTATTATCCTTGAAAAATGTATGAATCCATATGTGTCTTTTAAGTTTTGCATATAGAAACATAGTAGGCCGCGCGGATCAAACGTCAGTACTGAATCTTAACCTCACTCTTTAGTAAACATAAATTAAAAGTTTCATAACAATGCGTGCAGTGTTCTCACTACAGTGAATTTCTAAGTGTCACCAAGTCATTAGAAAAATGATACTCAACCGAGAACATTTTCACGCCATAATTTATTACAACTATCAGAGAAAATTATCGCAACAAGAATGCCTTGCTGAGTTACTGTCTGTTTTCGGCATCGAAGCGCCACATCAGTCGACAATTTCCCGAGAATTCAAACATGGACATATCGCGAGATTGAGGCGTCCTTGAAGATCTCAAAGACCTCAATTCAAAAAAATTTACATGAAGAATTAGGAGTAAGAAAATTAGTTTCTCGTTCGATACCCCACTTGTTGACTGAAGAGCAGAAAGCAGCCAGGGTTAATTGGTGTCAAACGCGCTTGACCGTTTTAATTCCGGAAACTCAAAAAATGTGTGCAGCATTGTTAGTGGTGATGAATTGTGGATTTACTGATATGAACCAGAAAATAAACGACAGTCGGCTGTTTGAGTGTTCCAAGGTGAATAAAAGCCAACAAAAGTCATCCGTTCTCGAAATGTTTCGAAAAAGATGGTCGCGACATTTGTGTCAAAAGCAGGTCATATTGCAACAATTCCTATTAATGAGCAAAGAACTGTTACTGCGGATTGGTATACCACCATTTGTTTGCCAAAAGTCATCACCGAGCTTGGAAAAATCAACCCTGAAAGAAGAATCATCCTCCACCAAGACAATGCAAGCTTGCACACAGCTCAAAAAACAAGGCAGTATTTAACGGAAGAAAATGTTGAATTATTGGACCATCCTCCATATAGTCCCGATCTAAGTACTAACGATTTCTTTACTTTCCTGAAAATTAAAAACAGACTGCGTGGTCAAAGGTTCCAGTCACCAGAAGAAGCTGTTGACGCATTCAAAAATGCCGTTTTGGATCTGCCAGCAAACGAGTGGAATAAGTGCTTTGAAAATATGTGCGAGCGCATGCAGATGTGTATTAATCTTCGTGGAGAATACTTCTAAAAACAATAAAGTTATTTAAAACTACCTACCGTGTTGTTTTATTTCCATATGCAAAACTTAAAAGACATCCCTCGTACTTTTTATTAAAATGTATCTGCTGAATCCTACGTTTTAATATTTATAATTAACTGTTGGTGATATTTTGAATATCTAAAATTATCTCTCTGCCTCCCGCCCTCCATTGCACCTGGAGAGTTAATTTCTCTTTAAGTAGGCTATGGTTCCACTTAACAAAAATAATTGTAGACAAAGTATGACCCATCAAGGCATTAATGTTTGTTGTATTCTACATTTTTAGCATTTTAAATTTAGAAAGGTTTTTCGATATTTGTTTTTGAATCACAGTAAGATAATTCTGTTCTACTATAATACTACAACACCTTATATGTATATAAAATAAGTACCAAGACATTATTTTCTTCAGGAAAAACTGCAACAATGACAAAAATCTAAAATATTACTATTTTTTTAGCGGTTTTATGGCAATAACTTGGAAATTGTTTGTTTTAGGGCTAAAAAAGGGGTCAAGGTTCATCCCCTTAGCGATGAAATAATTTGTAGAAAAAACAAAAAAAATACTCAAATTGAAGCACGACATTTTTTCTGACATGACCCATATTTACGTAGACGAATCCTTTTTACATGTTTTCACTAAATACATTTTCCACTTACAACTCCCCCAACGATTTTGTTATATTCCTTGTACTATATGTAAACAATCTATTTCACGTATTAAAAACCTAGGTTTATCTAGGTAGAACATACTACATTCAACTCTCTGTTTCTCGCTACTCTAAATCATTCACATTATAGACTCGCTGTTTGTACTGTAATCTGTATAGCACAATAAATATACAGGGTAGCACATCGAAAACGAAACAGATGCATTTACCGGCAGCTCAGTTTTTTTTTGGAAAAACCACCCATCGATTTTGTTTTCGAGGGGGACACAAGTTTGGTGAAAAATCACGGTAACACGTGCAGCCCCCTGGGCGGGGGTGACACCAATCCTAAAATCTTAAATGGAAAGGGGGGTCGAGTGATACCTTATTTTAAAGGTCTTTCAGTTCCCTTTATAATGATGTAAAATACATGAACTTCAGTTCAGTAGTTTTGAAGATTTATTGATTTAAAGCTTAAAGTAGACACTAACAGGTACATCAGATTAGTTTGTACTACTTTCAGAAGAAATGTGACTAAAAGAATTTACTTAATAAGTGTATGCTTTTCTTCACTACGCGCATGGTTTGTTTATCATTTTGTTGTTGTAAATAGCTATTGGAGCATTTTTTTGTGGCAAAAAAAAAAGTTATTTCTTGAAGAAAGATAAGGAAATATCTCGTACTTATTTTAAATAGGAATTTAGTACATAGTTTGCGATTGATTTGACCAAACTTTGTTGCTAAAATACCTAGTAACGCTTTATTACATAAATTAACCATGGTATATTCCACAGCAGAAAGAGTTTTTTTATCGAAATATTTTTCGGAAATAATCAGTGCCCCAATAGAACTGCAGAAATATTTAATGAGCGACATGAGAACAGTAACGTGCATCAAAAATATGTTCTAGAACTTGCAGCTAAATTTCGTAAAACTGGGTCAGTCGCCAATAAAAAACGCAACATTGAAAATCTCATAAGGAACGAAGCAATAGAAATATGTAGATCCTACGTTAAGTAACCGCAATTGGAGACTGTGTGTGTGTACTGTCCAACGGACTCTAAAGGCCCATAGCTTTCATCCGTATAAAATTCACCTGGTACAAGAACTTAATGAAGACGATTTTGATCAGCGATTACAATTTTGTGAAGATATGAGTGAACGAATTATAAATGATGAGCATTTTCTATTCAACACTTGCTTTTCCGACGAATGTTCCTTTTTCTTAAATGGCGTGGTAAGTCGTCATAACTGCCGATATTGGTCCGATTCTAATCCCAGAATTTATCATGAGGTTCATACACAGCAGCCACAAAAATGTTTGGGCTGTTATTTTTACTTACTCGGAAATTTGACCGGTGAAATGTATTTGGAATTACTGGAAGACGCCATAGATCCTGCATTAACAGCCATAATTGAAAATCAGAATGATCGGCGGTACATTGCGAATAGGTTGATGTTCCAACAGGATGGTGCCCCACCACATTACGCATTACGTGTTCGGCAATATTTAGATCAGACGTTTCCAGATCGATGGATTAGTATTAGAGGTGCCATTGAATGGCCCACAAGATCGCCAGATTTATCAGCTTTGGATTTCTTTTTGTGGGGTCATTTAAAAAGCTGTATGTATGCTAGTCAGCCAACATCATTAGAAGACCTGCGACAAAGAATTGTGAAAATGTGAAATATTGCAAAATGTGCGGCAACGTTTTGAGCAAAATCTTTATTATTGCATGGAGAGTCTGGTGGCCATTTTCAACATTCATTTGCCTAACGGGTCAGTTCATTCTTCATTTTTAAATGACTTTGCTGCCAAATGTATTGATCTCCACTAATGATGATGTATTAGTTTTATTTAAGCTTTAAGTCAATAAATCTTCAAAACTACTGAACTGAAGTACATTAATTTTATATCATTATAAAGGGAATTGAAAGACCTTTAAAATCAGGTATCACTCGATCCCCCTTTCTATTTAAGATTTTGGGGGTGGTGTCATCCCCGCTTAGGGGGCTGCACGTGCTAATGTGATTTTTTGCCAAACTTGTGTCCCCCTCGAAAACAAAATCGACGGGTCAGAGCGTTTTTCCAAAAAAAAAACTGAGCTGCCAGTAAATGCGTCTGTTTCTTTTTCGATGCGCCACCCTGTATAACTGATTGATTGATACACTATTAATGCTCCGGCTATACAGAGAAATCCGTATACCACTGACATCGTAATTTGTACGCGAGAAGTGTGCAATTTATATGTTACAAATAGAAGCACCACGTCGCCTAACAATTTCTCTGTATATAATGCTTGTAGTGACATTCTGTATGTATTAAGGGCCCTTTTCAATGCCTCCTCCACGTCGTGGCATCCGTAAATCAAGCACGTACCACGAGCTCCGATTTACCGAGGGCAAAAAGTTTTTTAACCACCTAACAAGGGTGAGTCGAAGATCAACAACTGTGCTGCGGCACGCTACATCATTCGGTATTCCCACCAGTAATTCAGGTGAACTTCTTACAGCGACGATTAATTCAAAGTTTGCCTTTTCCATTATCTCTGCCAACTTTGCCAGGATTCTCATCGCGCTGATTTCTTTACCACCTAGCATACTAACTACTTCTCGGCTATTGACAGGTTCGTTCTTGTTTTCGCACCCATTAGAAGCTGGCCATGTTTGCATCGTAATGAACCAGGCGTCTATATAGGGTGTAAACGTTATGATAGTCATTATTTAAGCAGGTGATAGATGGGGTTAAAAGAAGCAAACAGTTTCATATAACATGGGGGTCAAAACGGCATTTTTTTAGAGAAATGCGACTTTAAAGTAAAATAAAATCTGACAACGCCGCAATGCCAAACGTAAATTACGACGGAACGCAGTGTAAATTAAGATGGAGTATGTTTTTTTTGGCTATTAGCTATTATTTCATCATTAGATAATGTACTTGTAAAATGGAAACAATTAAAAAAAAAACGGACTTACCACTAACTGTCTCAGCACTTCATTTGGTGTGTGAAAGTTTATTGAACGTATTAAAAAAATCCACTTGGAAATAGGGAACAATTTTGATACATGCATTGTTTTTCTTTTTATAACCCACACTGCACTTTTTTGTAATTAAAGAAGGTGTTCAAAATGTCGTCCTTCACTTTACACACAAGTTTCATTACGACGAACCCAGTTTCTTCTTACTCTAGGACCTCGAAGTTGTCCATTTATTATTTCAGCCGCATTTACATTTTTTTTGCTAAGTTGTGCTTCAGTTGTTATTGTACCAGCCCCATAAACCATCCCTTTAAGTTCTTACCCAATACCAGAAATTCATCGGATTGAGGTCAGGAGATCTTGCTGACCATTTTCGAGGATCAGGAGCATTTCGAGCGATCCAGCGATTTGGATAATGTTCATTCAAATACTGAATGACGACTCTAAAAATATGTGGTGGTGTCCCGTCATGAAGAAACCACAAATTTTGTCTTCGTTGTAATGGCATGTTGTCTAAGGTCTGTTCCAAAAGTTCTAGTAAGGTATTGGCTAGAAAGCTAATGCTAAGGTATCCTTCTCCTGAAAACTTTGGGGGTAACTCGGAAGGGCCAATTACCTGATCGTCAAGAATACCCGCCCAAATATTTATTTTAAAACGTTGTTGGAAATGACCTTCACGAATGGTATGAGGATTTTCTTGTGCCCATGTGTGAGTATTATGGAAATTTAATATCCCGTCTCGCGTAAAAGTACATTCGTCCGTCGCTAAAATGTTTAAAAAAAACCGTATTTTCAATGTTTTTCTTGATTCGAGAACATTGTAAATAACCACGACGACGTACGCGAACAAAAAAAAAACATAAAACGATAAAGTAATTTTTATCTATGCAAAACGATAACTAACCACTGTTACCGTTTGCGATCGATTGCCGGTTCGATAAGAGTGATGAAAGACCGACGCGCTGTTGTCATGTGTGTTTTATATATTTAATTTAATGAATTTTACTTACTTACTGACTACAAATTTTGGCTTAACTTACAAAAAATTAATGCCATTTATTTGTTAATTACAAAATTTAAAAGCGTTTAAGATTAGATTGTAAACTATAAAGCCATGTAGACAAAAATCTATTGACTTTTGGACCATAGGCCATATGAACTTGTTGACTTGTGTTGAACCCCCTTATACCCACTTCAATAGTGACTACCATAACGTTTACACCCTGTATAAAATTCCTATGTGTTTAGAAGTAGTTTTTACAGAATGCCATAAAAACTCCTAAGAATTTAAAAAGTTGGTTTCGCTTCGATTCACACCGATTTTCAGTGAATCTTTATAGAATCATTAGAGTTTCTTAGGAGCTCTTGTACATCAGATCACGGAGCTCATATTTGGCTATACAGATATTCAGAAAGCTCCGGTGTGCAAAAAACCTCCTTTTATCATCATAAGACCTACAATATACAGAAAATAGAGTACTGGACCTAGATCACTCATCTTGGCTACTCCAGCGTCTGAAGGATCAGAATACCCACCTTCTTGCTTAACTCTGAAGATATTTATCACCTAGCTATCTCGACGAACTGTCTTGGAAGTAGAATGCTTACTTTATTATTAAGTCCTTCATGCCGTTTTAATTTACCTTAACTTATAGGTGATAACACAAAACAGTAGGTCAATTTATAACAGGACTCCCCGTACCTACGTGCATTTTACAACATGGAATGGAAAATACTGAAAATTATTCTGGAAATGGGATGTAACAATATTTCTATTCTCTAAAGGCGTACTTTTCATTTCATTCAATTACTTCACGTTATATAATTTTATGAAGTGGTAGCCATTTTATGTATTTTTAAGACTGTGGAAGTTCAGGCATGCTTTTATAGTTGAAATACGTCCTTTTGAAATGACGTGTGATGTTATTCATAGATATTCATAAACAGCATGAATTGTGGAATTTTCAAATCTACAATCATTGGCGTTCGTTATACGAGGGATGTCTTTTAAGTTTTGCATATGGAAATACAACAACACGGTAGGTAGTTTTAAATGACTTTTCGAAGCACTTATTCCACTCGTTTGATGGCAGATCCAAAACGGCATTTTTGAATGTGTCAACTGCTTCTTCTAGTGACTGGAACCTTTGACCACGCAGTGGAGGATGGTCCAATAATTCCACGTTTTCTTCCGTTAAATACTGCCTTGTTTTTTGGGCTGTGTGCGAGCTTGCATTGTCTTGGTGGAGGATGATTCTTCTTTCGGGGTAGATTTTTCGAAGCTCGGTGATGACTTTTGGCAAACAAATGGTGGTATACCAATCCGCAGTAACAGTTCTTTGCTCATTAAGAGGAATTGTTGCAATATGACACAAATGTCACGACCATCTTTTTCGAAACACTTCGAGAACGGATGAATTTTGTTGGCTTGTCGTCACCTTGGAACACCCAAACAGCCGACTGTTGTTTATTTTCTGGTCCATAACAGTAAAACCACGATCTTCTTCAGTCAACAGGTGGGGTATCCAACGAGAAACTAATTTTCTTACTCCTAATTCTTCATGTAAAATTTTTTCAATTGAGGTCTTTGAGATCCTCAAGGACGCCTCAATCTCGCGATATGTCACATGTCTATCTTCAATGATGAGTTTGCGCACAGCATCGACGTTTCCCTGGGTGACTGCCGTTTTTGGTGCACCCACCCTGGGATCGTCGCTAAGACTCACCCGTCCACGTTTGAATTCTCCATACCAAGGGGAAATTGTCGACTGATGTGGCGACAGTAACTCAGCAAGGCATTCTTGTTGTGATAATTGTCTCTGAAAGTTGTAATAAATTATGGCGCGAAAATGTTCTCGGTTGAGTTCCATTTTTCTAATGACATGGTGACCCTTAAAAATTCACGTTTTGTTGTGAAATTTTGAATTTAAGTTTACCAAAGAGTGAGGTTAAGATTCAGTACTGACGTTCGATCCGCGCGGCCTACTATGTTTTTATATGCAAAACTTAAAAGACATCCCTCGTAAATGGTATCAGAAAAAGCCAAACATCTCTTATTCGGACTTTGTATGAATGTTTTTAAGTCAGTTAATAACAATACTGCCGCCATAAGCCAGAACGCAGTAAGTGCAAAAAATGCGAAAATGAGATGTCGTCATTATACTATGAAAGGCACGTAGAGTAAGCATGTTTCAATGATGACAGTATATTATATATCATGATAAATATATACGTAGTCATGCCATAAGTTCTGTCCCTCGTTTTCAAACAAGTGTAGACCTGTTAATACTTGTCCGATTGTTTACATTGTGGTGTCAGTTGATTAAGCGCTTTTCGGGTAATTACATATACCTCAGTTTGTATTGATCTCTCGAAGCATAACGATGGAGTGGGGCAAGGCAGAGAACCGTATTGCAGTGATAGCTTTACATAAGTGTAATCACAGTGCTAGTCAGATTTTTGAACTCTTACGCGGCCTTCAAATATCGCGTAAATTTGTGTCTAGGACCATTCAGCGGTACAATGAGACGTCCTCTGTTGATGACAGGCCAAGAAGCGGAAGACCTCGTCAAGTAAGGACTCCAGCAGCCATCAAAGCCGTAAAAGCCAGGATTCAAAGGAATCCACTCCGGAAGCAGAAGATCCTATCCAGGGAAATGAAGATTCCTGTCCGGACGATGTCGCGCATCATTAAACAAGACCTAGGGC